TTAGGGTACGTACGTCTAATTAATGATGCAATTGATTAACTGAAGTATGATTAAGGGCTGGTTTGGTATTGCTGTGCTTTGAAAAAAACTGTTGTGAGAATAAGCGACTGTGCTGTAAGAATAAGCGGCTGTGAAATAAAGCAGCAGAGCGTTTGGTAAACTTTTTTGTAAAAGTGCTTTTGGAAAAAAAAGCAGTCTGATAGTGGGTCTTTTCATTAAAGGAGCACTGTAGCTCCATGTGCTTTGAAAAAAAGCCAGTTTTCCAAAGCTGCAAATAGCAACTTCAGCTTTTTCCTTTGATTTCAGCTTATTCTCACAGCAGCTTCCAAAATAAGCCCTTTTTTTTTTCAGTTTACCAAACACCTAAAACTCTCACAGCTTTTTTTCATAGGTGTTTTTTTTTTAAGCACCTCACTCCCAAACTAGGTCTAAGAGTCTCCTAACCACCAAGAGCTTCAAAATGGACAATGAGACATACTTTCATGTGCCTCTGAACGTACAAAAACGGAGTCCAATTAAGCATGCGCGTCACAGCTAACCATTAAGCGGATTAGGTTTTATACTAATGTTGGTTGAGTATTTTTTTAATATCTTTTTTTTTTCATGGCTTTTGAAGAAGATCGAATTTGTGGAGCATGATAGTGGTCTGTGGTTGGCACTTGGTTAGGATCCATAATAAAAATAGTAGAGATCAACGGATTTGCTTAAGTTAGTGACTTCCACAAATTAGGAAAAGGATCCTCGGATCCTTCTTCTAGGGATTCAAAGGATCCCATAATCTTATCCGTTCATCATACATCGTGCGGTCAGAAATCATTTTAAATTTTAAATTTCAAATTAAATATAAATAGTACCTAATGAAAACTGATCGCACGATATACGATGAACAGATAAGATTACGGGATCCCATGGATCCCTAGGAAAAGGATCTAACGAGGATCATTTTCCCACAAATTATATGAAGTAGGTACTTCAACTTTGTACGATATAATTAATCATGTTGTGTGGGTGTCTCCAACTATCAAATAAGTACAAAGTTTGTATTATTTAGGATCTTTAAAAAGCACTTGAAGTGCTTCCTACAAGAAGCACATAACTAAGTGCTTCTTCTAGGAAGTACTTTAAGTGCTTTTAGAACTCAAAAAGTACTTTCATCAAAAGTACTTAACACTTCAAAACGAGCCCTAAGTGTATGACGAAAAATAATATATAGGTCGTTCTCACCTACAAATGATCCGTACCATTTACACAAACCTTAATTAGTTGGAACCCTAAATTAACTCTAACCAACAACTTCATTCTATCTCCAAAGTGAACCGATGGCTATAGAATTGGGTTTTGTTATGTCTTCTTTCCTGACGATTAACATTTTGCTTAACTTAATGTTTATTAGTTATTAAGTGAACTTCCGTGGGGTTTAAATTAATTCGTTGAATATATACATTTTTCTCCATTGATTTTAGTTTTCTGAGATAACTTTTCGTCTCCTTTAATTTATCCTCTCTATTGGTTTATTTACTGAAAGGTTTGTCCATGGGAGAGATTTTTCAGTGTGGCCGTCACATGAGATGGTACACCACGTGTTCCTATATAAATAGTGAGTTATGTGTGTTAAATGGTTAATAACTTAAAAATTAAAATTTTCCACCACTTGCATAAAAACACATGGTGTACCATCCGTATTCCCGTCACAACTAAAAATTTCTCGTATCGTTTAAAAAGGACTAGAATCATTTAACCTAAAAGATGATTATGTATGTAATCATATTCATGCATAACATGCTTCTCACATTGACAGTGTAATATATGAATTTCAGAGTGTAAAAACCAATCTTGCTACAGTAATAAGAATGTCGTTATGTGTTATTAACTATAATTAACCTTAATTACCATTATTATAAAATTGGAAATTGTAAACTTTGAGGATTATAATGTGATTTTATTTTTCTTATATTCCAAATGTTATGTTAACGTTAGTTGTAAACCCTGTTAACTACATTGCAAAAGATGAAGATTGGTACAGAGGAAGAGAAAGAATTGGTAGAGAGAAAACAAGAGAGATTGTATTGATTAATTAGAGAAAGTGTATACAACTGAACTTAAGGAAATGATAGCTATACAATCCTTTATATAGCCATATATCCCAATTACAATAATACTCTTCTAACTATATTAACAAACTTAACCACTAGAATAATGCCATGAGGCATTTCTGTTAATACTCCCCCCTCAAACTGAACTTGGTGTAGCCAAGTGAAGTTTGAACCAGTTAGAGCTCTGAAACTGATCTAGAACTGCATGACGTTTTGAATGCATGACAAAGGTTGTGGTGAAGCCTGGGATTTGGTAGAAGGACCATGTGACTGAGGAAACCACTTCTTGAAAGCCATACAAGCACGCTTTTATCCTTGAGAGCTCAATTGATCAACCCATGAGGCTCGCTGAAATGTATGTTGTTGCTGAAAAATGCTCTGCACAATACAGTTTCTAATCCTAATCTGTTGAAGTCTTCGTCATCTACAGAGGAGTTTGAGCCAAAAAAAAAAAATATTTTGAACTAACTAAATTGTACAGAGACTGGCACCAAATCAATTAAGGAGACTGACACTCCAAGAAACCAAATCAATCAAGGAGAATGACACTCCTGATAGCTTACTAAATCTTCCCAAATACTAACACCAAAATTAACCAAGGAGAATGACATTCCATACTCGCAGAAATAATGACACTTCCTGCCTTTGCATTTACAAATCGCAATCTTTAACTAAGAAACTCAAATCCTAGAGAATAACACTCCAAGATATACACAGAAAGAATGACACTTTCTGATATCAACACATAAAAATTCTTAACCAAAACTCCCAAACACTACATAATCATTAGCAAAGACGAATTCACCTGATTTTCAGCATGAACTTCCCAAAATCTTCAAATTGTGCAATTTCATACAAACAATCCACCTTTCAGACGTTCGAACTTCCAACTTGAGCACCAAACAAGTTAGCGGAAAACATCTTCAGGATCGTAAATGGAGAAAAACCAATTGACAACTCTCTGATTCCAACAATGCCACCAAAGTTTTTTTTTTAGCTTAACTTGAAGTTCTTCCCACGAATATCGAGGTACTAGTTCATGCCCCGACATTTCTTCAGACTTAGGCTCTCAAGAAACCTACATTGTGCTAACAAAGTTTCTTGAACTAAAACCGGCAGCTTAATCCAACCCAATGATATGTGCTATAGTAGACCAAAATTCACATACAAAGATGCATTAAAATTGCAAGAAAACAGAGCCAGGGACTCAAGTTCTCGTTGAGTATACACATCTAAAGGCAAATCAAAATAGGCATGGGTTCCATACCCGGCGTCGTCCTACCAAAATTTGCAGATCCTTCATATGAAAATTCTGAGCTGGGCATTTCAACAAACACATGGACTGCACCCCTGTCTGAGCAAGACTGCAACCCTGTCCATTGCCATTTTCAAGAACCAAGAAGCAACCCAAACTCAAAACCCTGAAAAACTGAAACTCTTTTCCATAATCTCTTAATTAAACCTAGAAATCTTGCACTTGGAATTAAACCCCATAAATCCTTTGATCCCGAAATTGCTATCTTCCATTGAAACCCAATCTGACATCAAAAGATCAGTCTCTGAGGATTCAACCCACACTAAGAATCAGATTCAAGAAAACCCGAAAGATTGTTCTCTGGGATTTCTAGGGTTTCTTTCGAGGAGATATCCGAGCCGTTCGAGGGAGGATCTGAGAACCCAATTGAATGGCATCGCAGGGGCAGGGAGCGATGGACGGGGAAACAGGTTCAGCTTAAGGAGGTCTGACAGGCCAAGCCGGGGAAACAGGTTCAGCTCTCGGAGTTGGAGATCAAGCGACTCTATGTCGCTTCCAGGGAAATCTTTCTCTAGCAGCCCAATTTGCTCGAACTCGAAGCCCCAGTGAAAATTTGCGGTGAAACCCAGATGAAAAATTGAGATTCTTGATTCCTGTTATCCATGAAAATGCTTGGATCTTTTCATAGCAGAAAAATCCCAAAACTAAACACAAAACCCTCGGAAGAAAAATCCAAAGACCAAAAAAAAAAAATATAAGAACTATGAATACGGAAGCATAAACAATCAAATACGCGGAAACGAAAGAAAGTAAAGAAGAAAAATAGAAGAGGAATCGACCACCAAGATCCATGGCGTGAGCCTTGGTGGCTCTGATAACATGTTAAATACATTGCAAAAGATGAAGATTGGTACAGAGGAAGAGAAAGAATTGGTAGAGAGAAAACAAGAGAGATTGTATTGATTGATTAGAGAAAATGTATACAACTAAACTTAAGGAAATGATAGCTATACAATCCTTTATATAACCATATATCCCAATTACAATAATACTCTTCTACTTATATTAACAAACTTAACCACTAGAATAATGCCATGTGGCATTTCTGTTAATAAACCCATTAAATGTGAAGGTAGAGAGTCAAAAATGAATAATGACGATGGATAATTTCAAGACATCCACTAAGAATAACTTACTATATTGTAACAAGACTGTCGCCCTTCGCGTATTCGTTTGCAAAAGATTCTACCCGCTACTCGGTAAAAATTATAATTCAAGGTGGCCCTCACAGCTCGTCGGGCTTGTCTGGAAGTCAGATTGACGTTTTGGTTTCTTCAAAACTCATAGTTATTGTTGCAGTTTTTTTTTTTATTTCATTATTTAATGGTAGACTCGTGTTACAATTTCTTTGTTAAGCCAATTCGTATGTGGCTAGTGAGTCTGGGAGACTTGCTTTTTGAGCGAGTCTCCTTAGCATTTCACGTGAAGGATATCAGTCAACTTTTCATAGTGTTTATTGCATGAACTCCAACTTTTCATACTAATGCAAGATAATTAAGGTGTCTAAACCTAAAGATAGAAGTCAAAACGAGACAGAATAGATTGAGAGAGAGAGAGAGAGAGAGAGAGAGAGAGAGAGAGAGATTTAGAGCTCCCCTTGAAGTCCTTCATTAAATGTCTCACTGAAGAATAACTCCTTACATATGATCATAAGCATCATCAATATACAATCACTAACGTTAATAAATCACTGTTAATTAGAGCCACCAAGTTTCGACGACATATACATCAATTTATATTACAAATTAATCAAGGTTTGCAGAAAGCGTGAAAAAAGAATGACGCAGCTAGCAATAAGCTTCATTTCTGTTGCACATTCTGCAGAAACCCAAAAAAGAAAAACCCTTCCTTTTCTTTATCACCCAGACGACGATCAAGAAATCAATATATTTGGTAGATTAGAGAGCGAAAAACGACTTCTTCGCAAGGAATAGTTAAACCCATGTCGTGGTTAAATCCAAACTCCTCCTCAGCTCTTTGGAGAAGAGTTTGGAACTCTGGATGCCCCAGCCATGTAATTGGGATAATATATCTGCTTCTGTTTTCACCGACATACACTGCAAAATGCCCCTTTGGCACATCGTCCGGAAGACCACATTCATTGTTGTACACATTTTTCTTCCCAAAGCTTGAGCATCTCTTCAGAATTTGCTTTAAAGCTGCTGTTTGAGGTAGCTTGTTTGATTTTTTGCTGATAGCCATTGTTGTGTTTGTGTAAAAGGTTTGAATAGTATTGTGTAATGGGTTGAGGGTATAGAGAGAGAGATGAGAGATGAGGGGAAGTGTGTAAGATGATTTGATGGGGGAGATTGGAGGGCTAGGGAGGTATTTAAATGAGGAGGGAGTGTTTTTCAAAAAAAAAAAAAAAAAAAAAAAAAAAAAAAATGAGGAGGGAGTGAATTAGGGAACTGGTTTTGTGAGCAAACAAGGCCATGTGATATGTGGGGGCAAAGAACAACTCACAAGTCAATTAGGGAAAACAGTGTTCAAGAGGCATGCATGGTTGCTAGCAACCCCATTGGGGCGGCTTGGCCTACCCTTGCTTCCCTCGAAATGTACACCATGGGAACCCTTTCTCTATCTCTATGTACTAGTTTAGTATCTACTTGTGGAACAAAAAATAATTACAAGGCGATACGTAGATTTTTAGATAAAAGAGAACAAAAATACTCTTGAGGTACAACGGGATTCCTACGCGCGAGCAGCGGGCAATCATCCTTCAACCAAATCAAAAGTGTCCAAAATAGGTAACAAATTTAAAGTTATTTCATCCATCCTTATCCTATATTTTTCATGAGGTAATTATTTCATAACCTTCAAAACATCCCATATAAATTACATAACCCCCAAAATATTTATTTTAAAAATATGTTGATTAACCAATTAATGGATTAATTACCTAATTAATCAATTAAATCGCACATTAAACCATAAGTTACACCCTATCCCTATAAATAGGCTCCCATTTTCACCAAAAAATCAATCCAACACACTTGCGAAATTCCCAATACTCTCCGAACACTTTTCTCTCTAAATTCTAATTTTGGCATCGGAGGTTCTTCGGCCAAAGCCCCCTATTCATCGTGGACGCGTGAGGCTCTTGGCCTTGACCCTAAGGTGTTAATTGTTTTGTAGGTGCAATTTTGTCCAAGATCAAGGAGAAAGAAATTTGCATCCACACTACTCATACGAGTATTCTGTTACTCCTAATAATGTTTAAAATATGTTTGATAATAGTTTTGTTTTTTGTGTTGTTTGTCTTTCTAATTCAGAATTCAAATGGCATAAAGATAAAAGGAAGAAAGAAGATCGAAAGACAGAGGAAAACAATAAATCACAATGGAATTTTACATAAGTGAAAACTAAAAAAATATATGATTCTCCTTTTCAGGTTTTTATTTTGTACATATTGACAAGCATTAACTTGTGAGTGGTTAATTTATAATGAATTAGATTGGTCTAGCTCAATAGGATGGTTAATAAGTTTATAATAGCCAGCTATAGTGCTTTGTAACTTGAATTTTTCTGTAACTTTCATTTGTAACTTTGAGACATTCATTGTATTCAATATACAAGAGATTTCATTTCTCTTTTGTTCTTCCTTTTCTCTTCGATTCTCAAATCTTTCAATGCAGTTAAAAGTATACATTCTCTGTATTTTTCATCCTCCCACCCTTTTCTATTCTTTCTCCCTCTCCTTTCTACCATATGTTCTCTCCGTATTACAAAAACTAAAGTGATATGTTCTCTCTGTTGTGGTCTATTTTTATCTGACAATATAGAGAGGGCCGGCGGCAGTGGAGAGAGATGAGAGAGATGTGTTTGTAGAATTGTAGGGGAATGTGTGTGTTGTTATCCCTCCTACATTGTGCCTTTATTTATAGTAGTAAAGGGAGAGAAGATATTCATTCTCCTCCAAGTAATACAAGTTGTAATAGGAAAGGATAACTAGAATCAAATCTAATCTAGGATTTACACAATCATACTTATTCTAGGAATGTTTACAACACTCTCCGTATTAAAAAAACTAAAGTGATTATAAAATGGTTATTAATTATTAACTAGAGGTTGAGGTCCCCTTTTAGAGAAATAGTTTGATCAGATGTTCAAATAGTTTTATTCATTCTGTATATATGAGCTTTGGAAAATTCGAGAATGTGTTTGTTCGAAGTTTACTATCATGAACAGTGGATTGGCCAAAGAAAAATCTGTAATGTTTTTCTTGATGGAAGGATCTGTCACACTCAACTCTCTTGTATTCCTCTCAACCTTAACGGAACATATTCTTTCAATTAGGTTTCGTTTCATAGTCACTAACGCAGACAAGAATGTTATTTTATATATAGTAAAAGTTATTGGATGTTTCGAACTTTTATAATGTAAATATAGCATATACAGTAGCTAAAATTGGAGTTGCATAATACATGCTTCCGTAACCTTCTTTTTATAAATACAAACGATATTGGCAGAAAGAAAATTCAGACCTAGTATGACCCCTTTGCTTTAATTACTGAGCTATGACCCTTTGCTCTTAATTATTTAGCTATGATCCCTTTCCTCTATAAACTTGACAATTTTGTGTTCCATCCATTATAAATTAATCCTGAACTAAAACAGAATAACAAGAATGGATAATATGTAAGACAAATTTGCAAAAAAGACATAAAGAATAATGATTGAAGGAATTTTGGAACGAAAAATTATGGACGCCCCTCCAATTAAAGTGTAAGAAGTTAGCAACTGATGATGATTGGATATTAATGATATTTATTGGAGTGCATAATCATAGATCAGCAAAGCATTTGGAGGAGATCATTCGTTGCTGATAGATTATTAGCAGATCAGACTCCGTTGTTGGAGAAATATCATTTCAATTTTTTTAGGAATTATAATGTGTGGGAAAATAGCATACTAGAAGCTATTTTAAGAATAATAATGGGTCAAGAAATGACATTTCAATCTTTTAAATTTTATAGTAAATGAAATTATAATTTAAATGAAAAAAAATAAGACACTGAATGGATCTAACTCTCTATTATAGTAAACTATTTTGCATGTCGCACCAAAAAGGTAAAGAAATTGCGATGTCCTTTATTTGGTAAACTTTTTGGGTACATCCAATTCTTGGTCAAAAAATAAAGTGACTGTATTTGTTTAATAGACGATGGGCGTCCATGGTGCATACTGCATAACAAATTTGTTTGATGAATGTTTGAAGGAGGATTGAATATGCAGCCTCTTTTAGTTTTAAGGAGAGAAATACAACCAGACTAATATATATGCAAATACATCAGTCTTCTTCTAAACCATACAATCCAAAAATTTAAGCATGTCTTTCTTTAACAACTTTCATTTTGTGCTTTACGAATACAAAAACAATTAAAAAAAATTACGGAAATAAGATTTGTAAAGATGTAAAAAGTAACTAAATTGTTAACTCGATTAATAATTATCAACTATTAATCAAATACAGACGCTTAAGCTGAAAGTTGATACAACTCTTAACCTCAATTAGTTACTTAGTGACTATTAAGAATAAAGGCGAAATCTTCGTTTTTAAGTGCAATAGAATCCAGCTAACTGAAAAACAATATTAAATCTTTCAAGAACAAGGGGTCAAAAGATCTTTTGGTTGGCAAGTGAAATATAATTCTTTTTTCCAAAAGGTGGTCCAAATCCAAATAATGGTGTGGATTTGCCTTTTTCTTCTTCGGTACCAAGCAAAGTAATCACGCGTATATGCAATTACTCCATTGGATACAAAGCCTTAAGATAAAAAGGTGGTGTTAGGTTTAAAGTTAGGTTGAGTACATGTTATTCTCCGTATCAAACGTTTGAGAACATAAAACGTTTGAGTTTACTGTTCATCTCATACTTATATTCTCCACCACCAAATCAATATCCTACTTCAATTTCTCGTCCTTGAACGGTCTACAAATGGATGTTTATATATTATCGTTTAATAACAAATTGCGTCCACATGTGAGTGGAATTGTTAGAAGCCTTTTGTTTAAGACTCAATAGTGTGGTATAAGAAATGATAGTTCCTAACTAAATACGTAAAGACTTGAGTGTCATCAAAATATAACCTTATATTCCTACCACACTCAGGAGTGCTAATGATTCAGAAATATGTTAGGATCTCGTCGATGTCAATAGGGGACCAAATGAACACGCATTTGTCTCACCGTTTTTTCTATGCTTGTCATGTACACAAAGCAACAGAAAAAGCAACAAACCAAACTCCCATGCCCAACAGAAAAAGCCCAGTTGCCCTAAGCCTCCAAAACGGGGGGCAAACTTCTCTCAGTCACATCTTTTGGTGTTGCTTGCCGCCTTGTGGCACTGAAACTCATTGACAACCATACATTTTTATAAACAAAAATAATAGAATTAAAATTCGTATAAAATTATCAAACTTTGCAGATGAATTCATTTACACACACACACACATGTATATACAGAGATAATTTGTAGGTGCACATGTTCAACTTGAGTTCCAAATGCGCAACGAGTTCTGGAAATGTCTCACCATTTAAGACTGCCCATGTTTACCATTTTGATAAAACCAAAAGCCAAAAACCAGACCATACAAATACAAAGATGTATGCAGCAGGAGCTGCTGGTAAGTTAAAGACACATGTTCCTAATAAAATGAGCACCAGTTGTTACAGTACTAGTCTCTCTCTCCCTCTGTCTCTCTAACTCACTTTTGAGAGAATTTAATTAACCCATGTTCTAAGGCTCAAAAATTCAGCCAGCATGGCGTTCTAAGATTCATATAGCCGACCTGACTCAATGACTTGGATTTTTCAAGTCTCCAATCGAGAAGTTTTCCCCACCCGGGAAATTAAGGGAACACTACCTCAACCTACATGCTCCACTCACAAAGCTTCAACATACAAGCTTCAACAAAAGAAAAATTCAAAGAACTTAGTGAAGAAGGCTTTGGTGTATTTAACACAATACGTTGAAATGAAACAAAGCTTATTTATTGATATCTCTAAGAAGTTACAAATATGTACATATACACAAGTCAAAATAAACAAACAAGAGGGAGCCTTCACAAAGGTTGCTTAGGAGAAGTCTCAGCAGTCGGCAGAGCCCCAGAAAGAGAAGGCACCGGAGGGGGATCATTCGGAGCCTCAGTACTGGACAGCAACCCTAGAAGGAGGAGGCATCAGAGGTTGATCATTTGGAGCTTCATTACGCGGTACAGCCCCAGAAGACGAAGGCAATAAATGCCTTTGGAACAAACCCACAAACCTCTGATGATCAAGTAAAATCCTGACCATCAGATTCCTTCATCTGGTCA